AAGTGATACACTGCAAGGGACATTCTATGATGCTTGCAGCTAAAACAACCAGCACGTGAGGAGAGAGTAGAATAAAGAAATCAATCTATTGAAAGATATCATCTTATTGAGGTACAGAAGGAAACATAGGGAGAATAGCTTCTACTCTATTTCATATAATAGTAAAGAAATTTGTGTTCAATTATGAGCAGTAGGAAAAATGCTATTGATTGAATAAAAAGGTAATAAGGGAATATGAAGGATAAATAAATTAATAAGATTCTATATTGGAGGCAATATCCTCTGTTAAACAATTATCTTTTGGCTATACACTGGGTATACTTTTCAAATGAAAAAACAGCATATAGAGAGGAAATAACTAATTTCCACCCCATTCTCTAGACATTTAGTATATTTCCAGGGACAAATTATGACTATACAAGCATGATAACCCTTTTCAATATATTTTCCTGGTAGCTAAGAAGTTCATTATTCCTTATAAGAAGAGTGGCTGATTTGACCTGAAATGAAAAGTTTGTCTTAGATATATTTCTCAGGAATAGTTGTCAGGTCAGAGAATATGCTCAAAAAGGGATCACAAAGGGCCTGCAGTGCGTGAGTTTGGGAGTACAGGGGGATAAAGATTTAGAACAAAGTTAGGTGAGATCAGGAGCCAAAGAGGTTAGCAGAAAGGTGTGTGTGTGTGTGTGTGTGTGTGTGTGTATCTTGGGGCAGGGACCGGTGGGTAGCTTTTGGGGACTGCCTGTAGGCTGCTTGTGAGGTGTCATGATCTCTAGACCCTGGAGTGAGTCCTTGGGAAGACACAATGTTCTGAAAGTTTGGTGCCCTTACAGATTATAAAATATTTTTATTATCACCCCTGGACATCATTGCTAAAATCTTAAGAATATCACCCCTGTGCACACAGGTTACTCTTCTCATGGTGGTGTGGCAAGGCTTGATTTCCAAGAGCTTCCTTTGGACCGTCCCTTATTTTTCCCTTTGAGGACAGGAGCTCCTTTAGGGTGAGGAAGGAAGGAAGAAATGGTACCTCCTAACCTACTCCCTCTACCCCATTCAAAAGACTCCAAAAAGCCACAGAAAATTTGCTTTCAGAGGTAGTGCATTGGGATCCATGGCATTTTAGTGCTTCCTGACCCCTGAGTCTATTCCTTTAGTGAGGGTAAAAGAAAAGAAGGGTTGCTCTATCAGGGGAAGATTCGTACGCAAAGCCCAAGACTTAGGTACCATTTCAGGGGAGTTAGTGTCCATGGTAAAATAGAATTGGCCCAGGGTCATCTGCCTGCAAGGGCAACTGCATGAGGCAAAAACAAGAACACAGAACAAGATGGATGGAACCTTCCTGGGAGAAAGAGTAGAGAGAGAGAGAGAGAGATTTCTTGTCGGAGAAGGATTGGAGTGGAGAAACAAATATATGCTTGTCTTCCCCACACCTATAATTATGTGAAACATTGAAAAAGACAAAAACAAAACAAGAAAACCCAAGATAAATCTGTAATAGCAGATCAAAAGAATAAAAAAAGGTAGTCTTTGGGCCAGAAATAAGAACTGTTAAAAAAAACAAAAATATCTTTAAGTTTGGGGATGGCAGAAGCAAGAAGTGGTGGAAAGTGGGCTGAGATGTCCTTTTTGGTGGCCCATGTAGTCAACCTCTGTCCCCATCCAACCTCATGTCCCTGTTTGCCCTGAGCAGCATGGTAGCAGTGGTTGCATTTAGCCACAGGCTAAGGTGATTATTGGCACTATGGCTAGAGATGTCATGCTTGTTCCCAGTAGATGGCTGATGACTCAAGGATGGACCAGCTTGTAGACTTAGAGACAAGTTAGCAGCACTGTCCTTGTGGAGTGTTTCCCTCCTCCAAGGTCCCTGCTGGCCAGCTATGGTAAACTGGCAAACAGATGAATAGAAGTAGTCAAGCATACAACAAGCAGATAACCAAAAATCACCCCAAATATCAAGTTTTTATGGTATTTTGTAAATCCAAATTATCTTTGTTTTTTATCTGCTTGATCTATTGCTTTCTGAAGGAAGTTTTCTGAATTCTCCCAATCTTTTTATATATCTGTCAACTTTTGCCATATATATTTTGTAGTTGTAGTGTTGCGTTATGAGGAAGATTCATGACTTGTCTTGTGGGAGGATTCTATGCTTAGCAGCTGTTCACCTTAAGTTTTATTTTGCCTGATACTGATGTCATTAATTTACGTTCAGTTTAACATTCATTTAGTGTATCTTTTCCTGCTCTTTTAACCCTTGTGTGCTGTTTATTTCAGATAAACTTTGTTGTTCACTGAATATTTGTGTGCCCCCCCCCCAAACTCATATATTGTAACTCTAACTTCCAATGAGATGGTATTTGGAGGTAGGGCCTTTGGGAAGTAATTAGGTTAGATGAGGTCATGAGGGGGGAGCCCCCTGATGGAATTAGTGTCCTTCTAAGAAAAGGAAGAGACACTGAACTCTCTCTCTGTCTTTCCCCACCATATGAAGACATAGCAAGATATCAGCTACCCATAGATGAGAGAAGAGGGCTCAGAATGAAGCCTACTTATTGGACTTCCCAGTCTCCAGTACAGGGAGAAATAAGTTTCTGTTGTTTAAGCCACTCAGTCTATGGCATTTTGTTATGGCAGTCAGAGCAGACTAATACATACACATGCTTCTTGGACCTTGTTTTTAACTCAATGTGAGAGACAGGTATTTTACTAGGAAAATTAATTCATTCATTTTTATTATGATTGTTGATAGTTTGGGACTTATTTGTGCCATCTTTTGAAAATCATCCTTTCTAGCTTTGCATAGTGGCAGTGTCGTACCCAATGAGGTTTATCTGAGGCGCGATTATTGCTAATTGAAAACTTTTCCCAATACTCCACCATGACGACTTGAAATATGGTTGGCATTGGCAATTTTTAATTCTCCCTATGGGGACTGAATAAAAAATAAAAATTAAAATTAAGAAAAGAAAAATGCTCCTTCCTCTTTCTCATGCTTTCTTGTTGTTTCTTTAATACAGGTACATGATAAGGTTTGGGAATCACTCTCTTAATGGGGCCACGTAAGGGCAGATAAGGGGAGCTGGCCTGCACTCATGCAATGGACAGAAGGAGGAGACTGCCAGCTGGGCTTCGCTGAGGCAACTTGAACCTCAAACCCTGGATGAGCAGAACATCCTCTTTTGGATACAGGACCTGCCTGAGGCACTGTTTTGAATTAGGCAAATTTTATTTGCTTCCTCTTTTTTCCCCACCATCTGTAGTTGCTCCTGCATTTTGAGTGCTGGAATATAGCTGTTTTCACAGAACCCCAAGTTCCTGATTTTATTTTTTTTATCTCCGACTTTTCTACCCTTCAAAATCCAACATGATATGTTTCCTCTTTTTCTCAGACCATGCTTTCATTTAAGTCCAAATAGCAATCAGCCAGGTCTTGGGAGTTCAACAATCTGATTGGATTAATTCATGCTAAGGTATGACAGATCTACCATAGTCTTCTAAGATGAATTGGAATTAAAAAAAAAAACCCACAGCTCATTAACCTATAAAATTCTTTAATTGCTGAAATAATTGCACACTTTTAAATCTTATGAAATATAAACATTACGTTTTGTGATTTTTGTGTGTGTGTGCGAAGAGATAAGGATGAGTACCACTGGTAGATTTTACTCTCAATCCCAATTTTATTAAGATTTCTTTACATACTTTTTTAAAAAAAAAAATGTATCCATATCTAGACTATCAAAAAGAGTGAAATTTCCAAAGTTTTTCTTTTTCTTTTCTTTTTTGCAATAGCTACAATGTCCATGATGGTCCAAGTTCCAGTGGCAGCATAGAAGAGCAGGGCTAAAAGAGGTCATGATTTTGTATGTTTTGTTCTTGAAGTACATTATTTTTTGTTGATCAGGGACTCTGAAATGGTAATATAAGTTTTTGATTATAAAGTTCTCATAATGGTGCCTAGCACATGTTCTTTCCTTTATCTGGAATTTGCCACCACTTTTTTGTCAGGCTCACTCCACCTCACTCTCCAGTCTTCATCTTAGTTGTTGCCTCTCCCAGGAACCCTCCTGACCCCTTAGACAGCAGTGGGGCAGACTCCAAGGGATGAACTCATAGCCAGACTTACAGGAAATGACTTACACAGTGCCATGCTTCACTAATGAGTAGGAAGAAAGTGTTTTGAGAAAGGAGGCACAGCAAATGCCACTTCCATAACAGGGGCCCCAGGTCCATCAGCCTTGGTTCTTTGGACTCACTTGTCTGCAAAACAATGATTAAAGTTAGCCTAAAAGAGACATTTGTTGGGGGCTTCACTTTTATACCTTGTTACTCACTAAACTACAAAACTGACTCCGTTCCTTAGTGTAGTTGTGCCTCATGAATCCATAAATAGCAGATGTATTTACAAGAAAGTATCTGTACAGACTAGGTATATTCTACTGACAGTTTTATTACAGTTCCTTATTTATATTTCACATAGTAGATTCTGCCAATCAAATTTCATAAAGAGTTCTGGTTCCCAGAGGTGAGAACTGCCCCTGGTTTTCTAGTTATATGTTTATGGTAACTTCTTCCTTTCCAACAACATTTACGCATATTGAAAGACTGTTCCCTCCCCTGCCCTCTGCCCAGATTGTAAGCTCCTGAGGAGTGTGGCTGTTTCTTTTAACATCGTATCTCTGTGTGAGAAGAGTTTCTGGCCCATCATAAATACCTACTAAACACTGGTGAGTGAAGAATGCTACTTTGTGACTTCTGCTTCAATATTAAGTGAGGCTTGCCCAGGAGGGCTAAGTTTCATTGTTTGAACAAATGGAACTAATTTCTGTGGGTCGCATATTCAGGTGTGCCACCCACATGCAGCCGCAAATAAACCAGCCCGCAGGTCTAGATTTTATAAGCCATGTGCCCAACTTCAGCCATTGTGAGCCACTGTTAAAATTTTCTTTTGAATTTTTCTTTTTCTGAAAATCTTAATAAGTGAAAGGTGAAGAAAAAGTTCAAGGGTACTGATGTGACTTTGCAGTTCCGTGGGGTTTTTCATTCTCTTCCAGCACAGACAGATAAAATGGAATATTCTTCTGATGCAGATACTTCACATAATGCTCCAACACCTGTGTCAATTTGCCTTTGCTTTGGTATCTTTCCACAGCGTAGGCCATTCTCAGTTCACAAGAATGAGAATTCTTGTGATATTCACATGGATAATCACAGTCCATGATAATCCATGAGACCGGGACCCCTCCTGGGCTCAGCATACAGCAGTACACTGGCACCTTCTGTATGCAGCGCCGGGTGAAACGCAGGCTCTTTTCATTCCGCCCTGGCCACTGGCGGGCATTTATCAGCCCAGCATGAGAGATATCCAGTCGGGAAATCTTAAAATTAGGATCATCACTCTGGAAAATGAAAACAAAAACAAAAAATTTTATCCCTACTCCTCGATAGCATCCCATTCTAGAGCTCCCAGCCACTCCTTGTTTAAAGAACCATCATTGCAAAGTTGTTCATTTTGAGCATTGACAATATTTACTCATTCCAATGAATGAATTCATTCTCTCCTCTCCCTAAAACTGATTTATGTGCATTACAAGAACGTATAAGGAAGAACAACACTAAAGAAAAGCTACGGGAGTTACGAGTACGTGTTTTTTTGTACCTCTCAAATTCATCATCTCTGTGGTCCATCTCACACCTGCTTCCAGCCTTGCTCTCATTGGAGACGTTGAGCTTCAGCATATCTTCATTTATATAGAGGGCTGCCTTCGAGTGGTTTGCCCTCACTGGCTTTGAAAATGCAGCTGCTCTTATCGCCTCACCCAAACTTTCTTGGCAACCTGGGAAGAAAGCAATATTGTAAGTGATTGAGTTCTCTACTTCTGGGGCTCCCACCTGAATAATAACTCAATACAATTGCTTAGAAGTTCTCAAAGCACCACAGTCAGCTGGAGCACATTATTACAACACAGATTGCTGTACCCTTTCCTGACCCAGAGTTTCTCAGAATTTATACTTTCAATATGTTCTCAGGCAATGCTAATGCTGTTAGTTGACCCAATTTGAGAAGGACTACTGTCGTCCATTGCCTCTGACTTGTTACCTTGGATATGGATTATCTATCTCCAGTTTATGACTTCACTATTTTCCAGGACTTCCTGTAATTTTTGAGGAACTTTGGAGAATATACAATATGTGTTCACATGTAGATCCATGTTGTCAGTCATCTCCTATATAGGATAGTGAAAAGTCACATCAGTACCCTTGAACTTTTTCATCACCTTTCACTTATTGAGATTGTCAGAAAAAGAAAAATTTAAAAGAAAATTTTAACAGTGGCTCACAATGGCTGAAGTTGGGCACATGGCTTATAAAATCTAGACCTCTAACTAAAGCTGACCTCTTGCCCGGGTAACTGGAGTTTGTTAAATAGTTCACTGAAAGGTACGTTGTAAGCCTGTTTACAGATGCAGAACAAAGACAGGATGCAGTCAGTCACCCTCCACCAGACCCTAAGATGCCTAAACGTCCTCCCTAACCAGTCAGCTGCATATTTAACTTATGTACAATGTCACTGAGTGCCAGAGTTACAAGAATGTAACTGTTGCTTATTGCCCACCCACTTCTCCCAGATTCTGTGCCACACGCACCCTCCTGTTAGTCAAGGTGTACATATTCTGCCTCATGTAACCTACTTCAGGACATATTTTTGCTCTATAACGAGTCTGTGTTCCTGGGCTCAAGTCCTCAAGCTTGGCTCAGAATAAATCTAACCATGATTTCTCTAAGTCCTGGTACCTGTTATTTCATTTTTCAGTTGACAAAATCTAGGCAGCTGGAATCCACAGTGTCCAAGAGCTGGCCAAGATACTTTTACGGATAACACACATGAGTGACACGGTGCCTTTTCTCAAGGCTTCAGAATATCAGCTTATTAGAATACCAATACTTTCTTCAAAGCCAGAAGCCTACAAAACAGAACAAAGTAATTGGAATTTTTTGGTAGCAGTCAGGGAAAATTAGGTGGTATTTTATACTCATGGGCTCGGAAGAAGGAGACTTGTGATACCATTCTGGCAAGCCAGACTTCACAGAAAGATGAGCATCTGTTTCTGAGGGGGGGATATCAACAAGAAGCGTGAGAGTTTTAGCAGTGAATGTATGATGTCAGAAATTATATTGTTAAAGAGTGAAATATGAAATAATGTAACCAATTTTAAAGAAATGTTCAAAAATTAGAAGGTGATTTTATAAATGCAGGTTCCCAAATATGGCCAAAACCAAAACTGCAAGGAATTTAAAGCAGTAGATATTTTAAGGGAGCTGATTTTAAAAGGAAATAACAAAAGTAGACAAAGTAAAATAGACAAAGTAACTATTCAAGGAATGATGAAAAGAATATCAAAATGAAGCAGAAGAAAACAAATGGAACAATTAGTAAAAATGAAAACTGAAAATAATGAAATGGAGAATAAGACAGAGTGCAAAGGATATGTAAAGCCAAAAGTTCATTTTCATTATTTATTTATTTATTTTAAATTTTTTAAAAATATATTTATTATTTATTTTAATAGATTTAGGAAGTACAAGTTGAATTCTGTTACATATATGTGTTGTATACTGGTGGAGTCTGGGCTTTTAGTGTACCTATCACCTGATTGGTATACATTGTACCCATAGGTAATTTTTCATTCCTCATCCCCTCCCTGCCTCCCTTCTCGTGGGTCTCCAATGTCTATGATACCACTCTGTGTGCCCTGTGTAGGCATAGTTCAGCTCTCACTTATAAGTTAGAATATGCAGCATTTATTTTTCTGTTCCTGAGTTACTTCACTTAGGAAAAACTAGGTTTTCTTCTATGATTTTTATTGTTGCAGGTCTTACCTTTAATTCTTGAATGCATGTTGTGTTAATTCTGTATATGGTGAGAGAGAGGGATCCAGTTTCATTTTTCTGCATGTAACTATCCAATTTTCTCAACATCATTTATTGAATAGTGTGTCCTTTCCCCAGTGTATGTTTTTGCCAGCTTTTTCAAAGATCACTTGCTTGCAGGTATATTGTTTTATTTCTGGGTTTCTGTTCCGTTCATCTATGTGTCTACTTTTATGGCGGTGCTATACTGTTTTGGTTACTATAACCTTGTAGTATAATTTGAATTTGGGTAATGTGATGCCTCCAGTTTTGTTGTTTTTGCTTAGTATTACTTTGGCTATTTAGACTCCTTTTTGTTTGCATGTGAATTTTAGGATTGGTTTTTATAATTTTGTGAAAATTGACATTGGCATTTTGATGGGAATTGCATTGAATCTATATATTGCTTTGGGCAGTATGTTCATTTTAACAATATTGATTGTTCCAATCCATGAGCAATGGGGTGTTTTTCCATTTGTTTGTGTTGTCTATGATTTATTTTATCAGTGATCTGTAGTTCTACTTGTAGGAATCTTTCACCTCCTTGGTTAAATTTATTCCTAGGTTTTTTTGTTTTTTTTTTTGATAGTTGTAAATGAGATTGAGTTCTTGATTCAGTTCTCAGCTTGGTCATTTTGTTCTTGGTGTCTAGAAATGCCATTGAATTTTATATGTTGATTTTATAATGTGAGACTTTGCTGAATTCATTTATAAAATCTAGGAGTCTTTTGGAGGAGTCCTGAGGGTTTTCTAGGTATAAGATTATATCATCAGCAAACAGAGATAGTTTTACTTTCTTTTTTCCAATTCGGATGCCCTTTGTTTTCTCTCTTGCCTGATTACTCTGGCGTAGACTTCCAGTACTATGTTGAATAGGAATTGTGAAAATGGGTCACTTCTTGTTCCACTTCTTAAGAAGAATGCTTTCAACTTTTCCCCATTCAGTATGATGTTGGCTGTCAGTTTGTCATACATTGCTTTTATTATTTTGGGGTATATTCCTCCTTTGCTGAGGTTTTTTTCTAAGATTTTTTTTATCATGAAGGGATGCTGGTTTTTATCGAATGATTTTTCTGCATCTATTGAGATGGTTATAGGGATTTTGTTTTTAATTCTGCTTATGTGGTGAATCATATTTATTTACTCGTGTATGTTGAACCATTCTTGCATCCCTGGGATGAAACCCACTGGATTGTGGTGAGTTATCCTTTCGATGTGCTGTTGGATTCCGTTTTTTAGCATTTTGTTGAGGATTTTCATGTCAAATTTCTAAAAAAAAATTTATTTAATAGATTTAGGAAGTACAAGTTTAATTCTGTTACATATATGTGTTGTATAGTGGTGGAGTCTGGGATTTTAGTGTACCCATCACCTGAGTAGTATACATTGTACCCATAGGTAATTTTTCATTCCTCATCCCCTCCCTTCCTCCCTCCTTGTGAGTTTCCAATGTCTATGATACCACTCTGTGTGCCCTTGTGTAGGCATAGTTCAGCTCTCACTTATAAGTTAGATATAAGTGTTCAGACAATAACTCACTCTGTGAGTTCACACAATAACTCACTCACAGACAATAACACACTCTGTGTGCCCTTGTATAGGTATAGTTCAGCTGTCACTTATAAGTTAGATATAAGTGTTCAGACAATAACTGTCCATCACAGTTATTGATGTGTAGTTTTCTTTTTCTGTCACATCCTTTGCTGGCTTTGGTATTCTGTGACACTGGCTTCATAGAATGAGTTCAGGAGGATTCTCTCCTTCTTGATCTTTTGAAAAAGTTTCAGTAGGATTGGCACCAGTTCTTCTTTGTATGTCTGGTAGAATTCAGCTGTGAATCTATCTAGTCCTGAGCTTTTTTTTGTTGGGAGATTTTTTATTACTGATTTAGCTTTGATACTCAATATTGGTCTGTTCAGGAGTTCTATTTCTTCCTGTAACAATATGAGGAGGTTGTATGGTTTCAGGAATTCATCCATTTCCTCATTTTGTCTAGGTATTCTAGTTTGTGAGCATGTACTTGTTCATAATAGTCTCTGATGATCTTTAGTATTTCTGAAGTATCAGTTGTAATGTCTCCTTTTTCATTTCTGATAGTGTTTATATGGATCTTTTCTCTTTTCTTGGTTATTCTGGGCAGTGGGTTATCAATTTTGTTTATCTTTCAAAGAACCAACCATTCATTTCATTGATCCTTTGTATATATATATTTTTGCCCCTATTTCATTTACTTCTGCTTTGATCTTTGTTATTTCTTTTCTTCTGCTAACTTTGGTTTTGGTTTGTTCTTGTTTTTCTAGTTCCTTGAGGTGTGATGTTAGTTTATAACTTGTGATCTTTCTGCTTTTTTGATGTAGGCATTTAATGCTGTACACTTCCTTCTTAGCACTGCTTTTTCTGTATCCCACATGTTTTCATTTTCACTCATTTAAAAAAATTTTAAATTTCTTCCTTTGTTCCTTCATTGACTCTGATTGTTCAGGAGCATGTTGTTTAGTTTTCATGTACTTGTGTAGTTTCTGAAGTTCGTCTTGGTGTTGGTTTCTATATTTATTACACTGTGGTCTGAGAAAATACTTGACATAATTTTTGTTTTTAAACATTTGTTAAGACCTGTTTTGTGCCCTACAACGTGGAGAATGTTCTATGTGTTGATGAAAAGAATGTGTATTCTGTAGATGTTGGGTGGAATGTTCTGTGAATTCCCATTAAGTCCATTTACTTTAAAGTCTAATTTAAGTCCAATATTTCTTTGCTGATTTTCTGTTTTAATGATCTATCTAGTGCTGTGAGTGGGGTGTTCAAGTCTCTCATTATTATTCTGTGCTGTCTCTTTTTTAGGTCTAGTAACATTTGTTTAATAAACTGAGTGCTCCAATGTTATGTGCATCCATATTTAGGATTGTTATATCCTCTTGCTGAATGGATCCCTTTATCATTATATTATGACTTTATTTGTCTTTTTTTTTTTTTTTTTACTGTTTTTGATTTAAAGTCTGTTTTATATAAGTATAGTTACTCCTGCTTGTTTTTGGTTTCTGTTTGCACGAAATGTCTTTTTCTTTACTTTCCTTACTTTATCCCTTTACTTTCAGTCTGTGCCTTTATAGGTAAGGTGGGTTTCTTGTAAGCAAAATAAATCTGGATCATGTTTTAATGCATTCTGCCAATCTACATATTTTAAGTGGGACATTTAATCCATTTATGTTTAAGGTTAATGTTATAGGTGAGGCTTTGTTCTCATCATATTGTTAATTTCTAGTTGTTTTATATATTCTTTATTTCTTTTTCTATTTATTTTTGTGGTTTGCTG